TAAAAGATTTCGCGAAAAGTTTTTGTTAATTTCAAAATTAAAAAAAAAAAAGAAGAGAAACTTCCTTTCCTTTTGGGCCAATTTTTTCCTTCACTTTCTAAAAGATGTATTGTTTGTTGAATTATGAAATGGATATTGCGCTTTTTGCAGTAAATGTTGCAAAATACCGTTTTTTCTTTTTTTTTTTTTTTTTTTTTTATTAGATGCAGTGACAGTGACAGGAATATTGTGCGAAAAAAAAAGATCCGCTAGGATGACAACTAAATGAAATTTTAAATTTAGTACGATGGAAAATTGTAATTCGATATATGTCATGTTAAATCAGTGCATAAAATTGAATGATTTAATTAGAACTAAAATTTCGTTTAACTAAAATTCTACATTTCATTTATTGGCTTTGACAATTTAATTATTTATTCGCTTTTATTGACAATACCATAAATATCATTATACTTAAAATCTTGGATAAAACACTGGCTTCTACCATATTAGTACTAATAGATAATTAATTATGTAAATTTTGAAATATATTATCCAAGTAATATTTCTCGTCATAGAGATGTAAGGGAAAAAAAAAAGAAACGTCAAAATTATTGAAAATTGCATGAGTTAATATGCGTGAATTCGGTTAGTAGAAAAAAAAGTGGAAAATGAATCAGATCACTGCGGCTAAATGTTATGAAATAATTGGTAAGCCTGATTTAGATACCTGACATCCTTTTAGCAAGTTCTTTCTACCTGAGGAATCGCAGGAAAAGTCTGTGTCACCTCTCCTCCTCGCCGCTCTTTGCATTTTTCTTTTCCCAAATTTTAATCAATCCTGCTCTTATGTAGTGATTTCCTAAGTTTTTATCAACTTTTCATTTGTTATATCATAAATAAGCATACCAGACTTACCATAAATTAACACCTCCCTATGATAAAGTTCATTGATCTTTCATCATAAGTTCACCATTCTCGACATTAATTAATGATTTAATTAGATTCTCCATGTTTTCAATGAATTACAATGTTTCATTTACTGCTTTTTATAAAGGGATAGTATATACATATGTACGTATACGGATATGGTATTAGATAGAAATAACTTAAGTATTTTAATCCGGTCTCTCGAAAACCATTTCAATTTCTCATCTATCTTCCTGAAAAAAATTAATTATTGCCTACCTCTGGATTAAGCTATAAGCAGTAAAAAAAAAAAAAAAAGACTAATCCTAAAAAGTTGTTATGTTTAGACAGTTGTGGAAACTTTTTGAACAAATCATTCGCAACTTCTTTCCACTCTACAATTAATCAGCTGATCAACTAAATTAATTAATTTTTCTCTCGCATTCTTTATTCAATTTTAGAATTTAGATAAAAATTCAATTTTGCAATTCTTTCAAGCGAAACAGAAGGCAGGAATAGGAATGAAAAAAGAAAAAAAAAAGGGTAGCTATTTTAAAAGTAAGATAGTTATTTTGTAAAAATTTCCTACTTATGAATTACTATAATCATGATTTTTTTTTCTGTTTTTTTAAATTCGTATGATATCAAATTATCATTATAATGTTATAATGATTTTTTTTTCCTATCATGTTATCATTATCATGATTTCAATCCCAGAAATATTAGATATTTTCCATTTCAAATTATCATCATAATAATTTTTATCCATTTAATATCGATCATACATTTGGTTCTTTCAATAATAAAATAATCTATGAAATAGAAGTTTTTAGGGTTTTATGAAAAAGGAATGATAATTTATTTAATGGATATAATCTGATTGATTGGCAAATTTAAATTATTATTTTTTTTTTAAATAGAATTTTCATAAATACATGTAGAATTTGATACTATCCCATATCAGAATTGTAACAGTACTGTAGATGATTTTCACATCAAGATTATTTCATTCTCATATTATTTAAAAGTTTAAAAAAAAAGAAAAAAACGAAAATTCGACTAAAATTTTGCTGCCCGATTTTTTTTTTTTGGTTTTTTGTTTTTTTTTCAACTAACAGAATTTTTTAACCTTGAATTTGACAATTTTCAGTTATTTTAAATTTCCTTTCAT